CCTGCAATGAAGCAGAGGTGTTGAAATCTCTAAGTTCTGTCTAGTAGGAGGAAAACCACCATGGAAAGTTAGTAATTTGATGTAGACCATCAAATGACTGTGAAGAACCAGCCAATGCACAGGTATTAAATTGGGCCTGGAGTAGTGTGTAAGTACAGCTTGCTTTTTGGATATGCCATCCACACAGTAGCACAGGACCCTACACTTGGGGTTTAATGCTTAGTAATTTTATCTTTGAATTTATGTTTTGTAGGTGAAGTTTGATGGGACAACGGAGCACACACAAAGAGAGGGTAGGGACAGAAAGGGGAGGTAGGGAAGTTTGGAGCCTCAGGTCATGTCAGACTCACCCACATCATAGAGCATACTTAGACAAATCTAGATGGTACAGATCTTTACTTGGCATGGCTTTTTGATAGCAAATACTATCTGGATGAATATAGTATTTTCTCCATCACATTACCATTTTCTCCATCACATACAGGTACCTCTTTCAAATCCCTTGGATAAGTTCTTGGCTTCTCACTTTCTGGATCTGCATTCCACCCACTCTCCCTTTCTCTGCCCCTATTCAGCAATTAGTGCTGTCCCTATCCCTTAAGCCAGGCCTATCTCACCCATCCGGTGCCAGCTCCTTGAAGCTTCTCAGGGCTGGGCATACCAACAGCTGTCTCCACCTTGGGCTAGAAGTGCCACAGCACATCCAATAGGTGACTAAGCCTTTCACCTGCCCTTGATCCAGGTACATGTGCAGGAAGAGGAGTCCCAGCTTGGCCTCTCTATCTGCAGTCAGGACATGGCACAGACAGCCAGAAGTTGGTAGAAGGTAGCAGCCAGTTTTAAAGCAGTCATAGCTGTCAAGATGACAAGTAGCTGCAGTCCAAACAAAGATTCCTGAAAGGCCCTCCCCTCATCCATCCAATACTCGCACACATTATGCACACACATGCACATATACAATATCATCAACACCACCACAGCTTGACTGCTCCGCTGGGCATAAGAATTTTGAGCTTAAAGAAATCCTTGCATTTCATTGCACATAAAGAATCTGTGCATTCTGCCTCGTGCTCTAGATGCTCCTTCTAAAGGGAATACTTCGGTCTAGTTGTAGGCTCTGGACTCATGATTTTTCCTAGAACACTTTGGTGCCAGGCATGGAGTGAAGCTGCAGCTTAGGACCTTCACATAGCTGTCTTTTCAGGGACACTTGGAGACTTGGTGTCCCTGGCTCAGAGCAGAGTGAGTTCATTCATCCTGAGCATTGATAGAACTTGTACCTGGGTGCTGTGCCCACAGAGTCAGCCAAGCTCTCAACTCCTGACAGACATCACCTGGGCTAGGAAAGAGTTTACATACATTTTGCTTATGTCTGGACAGATAGACCAGGTAAAAAGTAACAAGGTGTCCTACAGACACTATCTCTGTTGTCTGAACTCTGAACTTAGATTTATACCCTCTTAATATGCAATGGGCCCATGGAGTAGCTAAAGCATTTTTAGGACCTTCTCTCCTTACTTAGGCCCCAGTCCTACCCAGTAATCCCTTGTACAGTCCTTCTCTAAGACCCTTTCTGTTCCTGAGACTTTCCCCACTGTCTACCCTCTGCCTACACCCCATGGCATGTCCTGTGACTTTTTCAGTCCCACAGCCTCTTACACATGCTACCTTGCACTTACAGCTTTTATTCTTTCCTTCTAATCTGCAATTCCTTGGCCCTTGGTGTTAAGGCTCAGGGGAGAAACTGAGGCTTCATAAACTGATTTGGGCACAGAGGGGGCTACAATATTTGTTACAGCACAGCCCTGCAAACTGATACATCTTCTTGGAAGGAGATAAAAGGGACTTGAAAGTGTTGACATCACATAGCACTTGTTATGGCTTGTATCTAGCTAGATGTTTCCTCTCAAAGCCTCATGTGGTCATAAGTGGGGTTTTTCAGAGGTGGCTGGATCTACACTGTGTGATTCAGGCATTATGGGTATAATGCTAGGATTAAGGATGCCCCACCCTGGATATTGGTGGCATTGCCCAAAGTGTGGGTAGCCTGGGTGAAATATAAAGGCCGACTTGGTTGCTGCTGCTGCTGCTGCTGCTGCTGCTGCTTGCTGCTTTGCTGTCTTCTGCCTACCTGCCGTGCACTATTTCTCCTCTGCAATGCCCCTCACACATGCCACCCTGCTTTTGATCAAGCTGACTATGGACTGAAACCTCTACAAACTGAGCTAAATAAACCTTTGCTCCTTAAATTTTAGGTGTCAGGTATTTTATTTCAGCAATGAGAAAAATAATCAAGACAGCACTTAAAATAAAACATCTAGAGGTCGGCATGGTAGTCTTTATCTATAATCACAGCACTCAGGAGGGTGAGGCAGGAAGATAACAAGTTTAAGGTCAGCCTGGCCTGACATAGCAAGATCTTGTCTCAAAAACAAAACAAAACAAAAACAACAACAATAAAAAAAGCCATTGTCTATATCAAAGAGTGGGGGGCCTGGTGGAGATTATGGAGGAATTAAATGTCCCCCTTGACCATTCACCCTTGGACTCGGCATTATCTAAAGGGAAGGAGATTATTTATAAGTAATAATAGCTCATGTTTGTAAAGAGTTTATCTTGTACAGTTGATGAAACTTTTCACCAGGCATGGTGGCACACACCTGTAATCCCAGCACTCGGGAGGTTGAGACGGGAGGATCATTGTGAGTTCAAGACCAGCCTGGGCTACAAAGTGAGCTCAAGGCCAGCCTGAACTGCATAGCGAGATTCTGTCTCAAAAAAAAGACAAAAAAAAGAAAAGAAAATTTTCATGTATGAGATATGATTGAAAAATATGGTGTGTTTAGATTTTTTAAAACCTATTACAGTAAAAGGCTCATGGCCATTAACTTCTCCTCTAAATAGTCCTCCTCAGTTCAAATACACTTATCCCATTTCTTGCCACTTTCTGAAGCAGTTCTGGAAGATCTTTTTCATGAGTGTCTTTAGTTGCAGTGCTATGGTTGCCTTGATGTGCTGAACCAATTCAAAATGTTTAGCCTTTACGGTTATTTTGACTTTGGAGAAGAGCTAGAAGTTCATGGTGCCAGATCTGGTGAATAAGGTATAGGAAGATATACTGTGATGTTTTTACATTGAATGGCAGTCAGCAGCAGCATTTGCCATATTTTTAATCATGCCTCATAAACACGGAGGACTTCCAGAACTGCTTCAGAAAGTGGCAAGAACAATGGAACAAGTGTGTTTACAACCAGGAGGAGCATTGTTAGGGGGAATTAATGGCAATGTATCTTTTTCTGTAATAAACTTTTAAATTGAAAAATTCATCACATTATGGCAGGGTGTGGTGATATACACATCCAAGTCCCAGCACTTGGGAGCATGAGGCAGGATGGCTGCTACAAGTTTGAAAACAGCCTGTGTAACACAGGTCTAGGCCAGCCTGAACTATACAGTGAAATCCTGTCTCAAAAAAAAAAAAAAAAAAAAAAAATCATCATATTTTTCAATGCAACATGCTTCTATGTTGTCCCAGAATTTTCTAAATTTTAGGCATTCCTAAGCTGGCTGAATGATTTTTGCCATATCCATTGCCCATCTGTAGAGTTTAATGACTTCATTTTTTTTCTTTAAGTTAACTTATACCCACTGAAAAATTTCTAGGCTTATAATAAGCAGAATATGTAAAATCTGGAATTTATGGTTTTTTTTTAATTTATGTTGGTTAGTTTTCTAAAACAGTAAAATAAGTACTATTTTATGAGCTAGTTTTTTTTAAAAAAATGTTCGTATTCCACCTAAAATTGTCTCATTCTTCCCTACGGGTATGTGACATTATTCTTTGGGAAATATTTAATTACTTGGTTATTATTACAATCAAGTTAGCTGGCTGGCTGTTTTTCTGTTTCTGCAGTACTGGATATCAAACTCAAGGCCTTGCACATGCTAGGTTTTTTTTTTAATTTACTCTACCACTCTACCACTGGGCTACAACCACTCTACCACGGGGCTACAACCCCAACCTTTTTCTTATTTTTTATTTTGAAGTAGGGTCTCAATAAGTTGTTCTTTTAGCTGGAGTTTCTAATCTCTGAGAATGTGAGCCTTCTGCCAACAGCAGCATTCACACCATCATTTATTCAACAAATATTACCGGAATACCTACCACTATTCAGTAGTCTCTGCCTGTTCAAGAAGTCCCAGGACAATGTAAGACGGAAAGACAGCATCCTGGTAACATCATTTCACCACTTGAATCCTAGTTCCCGCAGGAGGAACATTTAATCTTGATGGCAGTTTGAGTTCGATCTGCTGCAACTAAGGGCCGGCCAGTGGGCCCTCCGACCTGCTGGGATTCAAATAAACTCAAGCAATCTTTTTTTCCTGGTTTTAGAGAGAACACCAATTAGCCTCGGAACCTCCTTCGCAGCAGAGGTTGCTAGGAGATGGTGGTTCCCAGGAGCATGTGGCAGTAACACTGGAAGTCAGAGGGGCCTGAGTAGACCCGGGAGAAGAAATGGGCTTAAATTAAAAGGATCGTTGAAAGGTCATGGTCCTAATTATATGTGAGGTGCCCAAAAGGCTGGAGTCCTGCATTTGTAGGTGAAGAGCATGAAGGGAACTCAGGATGTACAGACACAAGTATAGATGGAAAGGGACAGAAAAGCACCAACGCGAACTCTGCAACTTCTAGACCTTGGGATTGTGGGAAGCTTTGTTATTGTTTTTGTTTATAGTGCTTTCTAAATTTCAAGTTTTCGACAGGCTTTGTTTTCCATGTATTAGAATTTCTTTTAAAGATCTCTCAGTAAACATTTCTTTGGTCTTGAGAAACTCTGCACGCAGCTAGGAGATTTGTCGCCCGCATTTCTGCTTCCTGCGTGCCAAGTCCCCTTTTAAGTGAGCCCTGAGGTACCCCTCAGTGGCGCGCACCTCCTCCCCCTCGCGCCAGCCTGTCTGGTTGCCGTGGAGACAAACCTAGCTGCCCACGGACTTCTGAGCTGGCCAGGCATCTGCAGGAGAGAGAATCAACCTCTGCAACAGGCTGCGGGCGGAAGGCGGAGCCCGGGGAAGCTACTGCTTCGCTGAGAGGCCCAACAGACCCTGCAGAGGCCCCCTGCCTCGCTGGCTCCGCCCCCTCCACCTCTGGCGATAGAAATTCGCCTCTGCGTCTGCGGCTGCCCACTGCGCTCAGACAGGTCCTACCGTGGACGGAGCACCCAGACTGCGCTGACCCTTCTACCTGTGCTAGGTGCCAATGGCTGACGGACTCTTTCAGCGCAAGCCCTGGGGCGCGGAGCAGATGCGCTCCGACTCAGACCCTGAGTCGGAGGGCCTATTTGACAAGCCTCCTCCGGAAGAGCCCTGCGTGCCCAAGTCGGGGTCGGCCGCTGGCAAAGGAGCTGGTCGGCGCGCAGGCGGAAAGGCGCAGGGAGCCCGCACTGGGCAGCCCCCGAAGGCCGCTGCGAGCACCCCTCCCGAAGAGGAGACGACTCCACTGGACGAGGGCTGCTATCTCGACCATTTTCCGCACCTCTCCATCTTTATCTACGCGGCCATCGCCTTCTCCATCACCTCCTGCATCTTTACCTATATCCATTTACAGCTTGTCTGAGTGGCCAGGGCAGGGCGGGGTGGGCGCAGGGCTGACGTGGGAGGGAGGATAAAAGAAGGGTTTAGTATTTTTGGTTTTGAAATGCACTGCACCCCCCCTTCGCCTAACTTTTGATGCTGTATCTTTCCATGTTGATGCTTTTTGTCTAATTGTCCATCTGTTAAAAGGTTCAAAGTACTGTATCTGCCGGAAATTAAATAACTGCTTTTCGCACCTGCCGGTGGGGACCGGGACACAGACTTAATGTTTAGAAATCCGTAGTGCGTTTGAATCCATTTGTAATTAGGGTTATGTCTCTGTGCGCTTACTTCGTGATGTGGGGACACGAGCAGCAGAGAGCCCAGCATTTTGTATTTGGGGAGCGCAGAGCAAGCCTGACCTTCTGTTCCTTAAGGGATGAGCCAGGTCTGGACCTCCGACCTTCCCCAGCGGGTAAGGTCGTGCTCTGGGCCCAAATGGGCTGGAGCCCTGGGATGCTGCATTGCCCCCAGGAGGAGCTGGCTGTGCTCGGAGGACCTGGTCACTCAGCGGGCTCTGCTGGAGCTGGGTCAGGTGAGTGGCGTTTGTCCAGTGCTGCGCCCCTCAGGGCTTTGAGCTTGACCCAGACTGTGTGGTTTTTTCTCCCTTAGGCTTTGCTATCGCTGCCAGATGGAGGCAAGACCAGTACAGAAGAGCTGTCCTACCAAAAAGCCATGCCCAGGACGTGTCCTGACCTCGTGGGACTTTCGGCTGCAGACCTCTGGAACACAGGCCAAGCTCCTGTGCTCCGCTGGATGAGACTGGGGCCCTGGCTGGGGAGGGCGGTACCTAGAGACTCTGGAGGGCTTCATTCTGGGGCGGAGCCCTTCTGGAGCTATGAGAACCAAAATGAAGGGGTTGGGGGATGTCAATAACAAGAGTTGCTGCTGGGGTTTGCCATCTCCAATGCAAAAGGCCTAATACCAGAACCCACCTTGGCAGGTTATTCTACTCATCTGCCTTCTTTGTTTCTTCAAGAATGTCAAATGTCCAAATGTGGCGCTTTAATACTGCATATATACCTATGGAAATGTCTGTAATTGTGTTATCTCTAATGGAGTAAAGTACCTTTTACGTCTCCTCTGTATCAGTTATCCCTTAATTTCCACCTGTCTTAGTCACTTCTCTCGTTGCTGGGACAAATATCCAGCACCCACAACTCAGGGGAAAGGTTTACTTTACAGCCCAGGGCCAGTGGGCTCCAAGGCACAAAGCCCCGGTGGAAGGGCCTGGTTAGAGGAAGGCTGCGCACATCATGGTGGCCAGAGAGCAGAGAGAAGCCCAGCAGGGAGATGCACCCTTCCAGAGCACCCTCTGGTGACCCACCTCCTCTGACAGGCCCCGCCTCCTAACAGCAACTCAGCTACCCTCACCTCCAAAAGCCCCACCTGTGAGCACATGAGGCCTGCGCGGGGGGCATTCTTGATCTAAACCATAACTTCACCTGTGCAATGCACCTTGTCAGACTTGTAGTCTGCTCCAAATTTTACCCCATATTTTTCCCCCTGTACTGAGAGGACTTAGAGACTTCACACTGAGCTACATCCACAGCCCTTTTTATTTTTACACAGAGCCTCACTAAATCACTAAATTGTCCAGGCTGGGCTTAAACTTGTGATCCTCTTGCCTCAGCCTCCCTGGGATTACAGGTGCCTGCCATCATATCCACTACCCCATTATCTTCCCAATATCCAACTATCCCTTCAAAACAGACTCCACCCATTATACAGATTCTGAGCACAGTATCTCCTTCCACTAGAGATCTTTTAATGGCATCTTTCACCATGTCAGTTCCTCACTACATACCAGTCCAATACTATTGTCCCCGAACAGCAGATCTGCCATCACTGTACTACTTACTTCTCTGTAGTATTCAGTCCTGACTTCTGGGCCAGTATAGTCCAAATAAGCTCTGGAATCTGCTTCCTTGTCATTTCCAAATTGTCACTTCCCTAAATCCTGTATCACTGCATGCTTTGGTATCTAGACTCTCTATACTTCTATTTTAGTGTAAGATACTAACTGTTCTTCAATGTCAGCCTGTACTTTAGTTTATAATAACTCCACATTGTGTCTCCAAGGCACCACAGTATCTGTTTTCCATTTTTTAATCTCAGCCACTAGATCTACTAAACTTTAGTGTGGATTCCCATTGAATCCCAATATACGACCGGTGTTCTCCATTTGATCCCATTCTCATTCATACATCCTCTCTTAGCTCTCATTTTATAATTTTTCAATAACTACCTTAGAATATAATCCTCCAAGATGCTTCCGATGTCTAATCTCTCCTGATAGAATCCTCCTCCTGGTTCCCAGAACCAAAGTTCCTGTCCCTCAACATGTCTTTATTCCACAATATCATAACCCTTTCTGCTCTAATTTGGATCTTCATTTTTCTACCCCAAATTCAAGTAAGTATCTGGTTTCTTCACCTATATTATATTCAATTGCTTCTACAACCTTAACATTGGCCTCAACATTCTTCTAAATATGTTGGAAATGTAGCTCATTGGTAGAGCAATTATCTACCATGTGCAAAGCCCTGGGTTGGACCCCTAGCACCACAAAAGCAAATAAATGAAACCCATTTGATCCCCTTGTTTATTAGTTTCCAAAATACCTATCATCTCTCTAGTGTTGTACTCTAGCCTTCCAATATTTACCCCATTAATGCCGTCCTCAAATTAAGGTCACCTTAGCCCCAAGATTTAATCATTTTCTTCCCATACTTCCACATTTTTCTCCCTATTGGCCTATTATTTTGTTCTATACCTGCTTACTTTCCTTGTAACTTCTGGCTCCAATGAGCTCATTTGGCCTGTTTTTTCTAATACTAAATTTCCACTATTCTCACACCATCCTTTAGCATCATCATGTCTAGGGTCGGAGGCCAGTGGCACAGCACCTGCCTGGCAAGTGCAAGGTCCTGAGTTTGATTCCTGGTACCAAAAAATAAAATAAAATAAAATCTAAAGTCAAGCCAACCATGGTGGCATAGGCCTATAATCCTAGGCACATGGTAGGTAATGGCTCTACCAATGAACTGCATTTGTAGTATTTAAAAGAACGTTGAAGCCAGTGTTTAGGTTGTAGAAGCAATTGAGTGTAACAATGATGTGAGTAAAAGAATGAGATACTTATTTGAATTTGGGGTAGAAAACTGGAGGTCCAGATTAGGTAGAACATATTAGGTAGAAAGGGTAATGATGTAATCCAAGCTTAGACAGAAGAGCTGCCAAATTCAAGCCCAGTCTGGGCAGCTAAGAGAATTAGTTCAGACCCTTTAGTTCAGTGCAAAGCCCCTGGGTTCCATTTCCACTATCAATAAATAAATAAATAAATAAATACCCTATGAGTCAGTAAATATAAATTTCTTTACTGGATAGATCACATGCTTCTTTTTCTATTCCAGTAGGACCTGCTTCTTTTTTATCCAAGGTCTTCTACTGGGCTCCAAGGCAGTAAACTGCTTATCACTAGGATCTTGCTCATAGAAAATATTTACCCAGTTGTTTTTCTTTTTTTAAAAGAGAATAAAAAATAATTTTTAAAAAATTAGAAACAACACAATTTTACTAAACAAGATGATAGAAATTCAACAATGGTTGTTATATTGCATACTGCTGTCTTGAAGTTAGTTGTTCAGATTATAAGCATGCAAAATTGGCCCAAAAAAATTAAAAAGGAAAAAAAATTTAAGCACTGACTGTTCCTTTCAATAGACCAGCATAAATCAGCAGTACAATTATCCCAACTATCCCGTGAAAGATTTATTCCAGAAACAAATACTTTTTTGTTTTCAGACAGGGTCTCACTATGTAGTCCAAACTAGCATTGAATTCACCATGAAGCCCAGTGTGGCCTTGAACTCACAATCACCCTGCCTTAGCCTCCCAGAGTGTCGGGATTACAGGCCAGGTATATGACACTGTCTTGGCCAAAACTTTTTTTTTTCATAGTTGCTTCTTTTAACCAGTTATTAACTTTCTGACATAAGAGACAAGAGCAAGCATTCTATGTTGGTTGTTCCACAATGTAATAACTAATTAATAAAGAAGCTGCCTGGTAACCCTTCTTTTTCTTTTTGAGACAGTCTCGCTTTGTAATTTAGCTGTAGCCCAAGCTGCCTCAAACTCACAGCAATCCTCCTGCCTCAGCTTCATGAGTGCTAGTATTACAGCACACCACCATGCCCTGCTAGCCCTTTACTTGCAGTAAAGCCCCAACTTAGGCATATTTGCATTGCAAACTTTCAGCCATATGAATGGACCTCACATTACGAACATTCATAGACATGAATTGATTGTAGCAGTAGCACACATCTGCTGGGCACTGTCACAGTTGTGCTGTTGTGTGCTTATATGGTGCAATAGTGTACAGTAGTACAGTGCTTAGAATCCAGGATGTCTGGTTGCATGAGGAAAAGCAGTGGTGATGTGGAAGGGACTGCTAGGAAATGCAAAGCAATAGCCATGGAAATGAAAGTGAGAATAATTGGGAGATTATATATTGAGGCAAAAAAGACTAGATGCTGCTCATTCTTTTTGTGGGTTTTTAATGCTTTACATTGTATATTTTTGTCAAAAGTGTTGTTTTTTTTGTCAAGACTCGTTTTGTCAAGACTTACAAGTGAATCTGACTTAAACATTCTCCTAGAACGGAACTAATTCATAAATCAGGGACTTTCTGTATTAAGCCAAAAGGCTTAAGGTCTCAAAAGGTACAGCTTTATATCTTTGGTCATAGTTTCACTTCTTTGAACTTGCTGCCAAATGAGTCTTTATTATGTTAAGAATTCCTTCCCAACTACCTGAGGTCTCTAATGAACAGAGATTTTTCCAAGACTAGTTCAAGGTAGTACACTGGCGAATGGACTTAAAGAAAAAAGAAAAAAAAAAAGTAAGATGTGGAACTCAAGAGAGTGAGCAAAGAAAATCTTTTCGACAGACTCTTTTTACCACACAGAAATTAAGATATTTTCAGTCTTTTGCTTTCCTTTTCTACATTGTCTCGAATATTCTGGAGTTTTCTAGAGTTCTGGATCATGGACACCAAACTCTCCCTAAAATCACTAGTCCCATGATCTCTGCCAACATTTTCAAGCTCATCAAACAAAGTCAAGGTCTGTTTGAGTTTGGCCTCAACTATTTTTTGCTCTTCTAATTCTGTAAGAAGGGCTTGCTTAGTATATAATTCAGTCTTATACTTCTCTTGTAACTCTTTTATTTCTTTTTGGAGAAGCTGGAATTCTTCCTCACTATAAGGATTCATCTCCTGACATTTATCTTCAGGAAGCAAGATGTTTGGGGGAATCCGCAAAATCAACTGCAAAAATAGCTGCTCCATTTTGCCAAAAAGGTTATCAAAATGTCCTTTCATGAAGCAAAGAAACTTCTCTGTGCATTTACGAATCTGGACTGGGGTAATGTCACAGTCTGGGATGCTCTCCAGCTTCTTCAGAATAACTTGTTCAACAGCCTGCATCACTTCAAACAGGTAGTCTTGAAATGCAATGTAGATCCTAAGCATGCAAGTTTGTGGTGTGAAGCCGAAGAACTGGGCCTCATAGGTCATTGGATCCACAGACATCTTGATTTCCTTGGCTTTTCTCAATTGTGAAAAAAATCTACAAATGTAAAAAAAAAACTTCATTTGGATAAAAAAAAAAAAGTCACCAGAGCAAAGAAATATTATAACAAAAATAAAGAGTACGCATTCTTTGATACCTGATGTTACTTCCAGCCTTACTTGTTCACAAAAGGATACAAAAGCTTGCCTCTCTGAGGCACTTTCCTCAATCTAGATCCTCTTCCCAGCCTCCATCATTTATTTCTACTCCCATTAATGAAGACTTAAGCACATAACTCAATCTTCTGAATTCTGTTATTATCCTGACAAATATGATGTTTAAACAGATGACCTATTTGATGCCCTAGACCAGTGATGGTGAACCTTTTAGAGCTTTCAGTGATAGATGGCTGGCTGCGGCAAATAAGCCATAGGTTCACCACCACAGTCCTAGACATTCTGGAGTTTCAGTGACCTACCTCTCTATTACATGTGGCTCCTGGACCTTGACATGTATCATTTTTCTCCGTAATGGCTCCTTCTTTTTTTTTTTTTTTTAACCACAACCTCTTATGTTATTGTTCCAACTGTCATTTACACACATTGTATCTTAATCTTTCAATCCTTTCTTGCTCTCAGTCTCTTACTTCTTTAGACCCTGTGAGCTATCATTTACATACCCAATTATGTATGTCCTCTATCCCCTTGTCTTTCAACATAGCCATCTGATTTAAAAAAAAAAAAAAAAAAAAAAAAAATCCCAATTAGAAGATAAACAAGCCACTTACTAGTTTTATAATCCTGATTTTTTTAAGGCTGTGGGAGTCATTCCTTTCTATTGTAAATATTTAGGAAATTATCATTCTATATCCCTGTCACTGTGGGAGCTTAACCTGGCATCTTTGTCCTACCTGTAACCATATGCTTGTTACAGAAATAAAAGACAGTTTTATAAAGAAATATAGGTAGTACAAGCTGCTACTTAAACTGCCAGGTGAATTTAGGATGAACTTCTGGAAAGAAGTGCAGCAAATAATGCAGTCAAGTCTTACAAGAAGACAGGATGCTATTAATCTTGAAAATTTATGTAACAGTTTAAAATGGAATGGTTGTAATTGTGAGGCTGCATACATAAGGTGGAATTTCTTAGATTGTCTACAATCCATCGTAATCTGGTTATGTTATTCAATAGCAAAACTACTTTATTTTCTCTTTGCAGAGGATTCCCTGAGTTAGTAGGATGTTTATTTCAACAACTCCCTGTGCCTCTAGGATCAAGTTTAAACCCTTCCAAAATGGTTTACAAGGGCCTTTGTCACCTCAGCCTTACTAATTACACTCTGTTCTTTTTAAGTACTTTACATAGGTGTAATTGACTTTGCTAATACTTCTTTTTTTGGTCCATCTTAAGTCCTCTCTTATTTATTATGCTACTTTGCATCTCCCATCCTTAGTAGAAACCTAATCTACTGTTTTTAATGTCTATCTTTTTAATTCATCTTTGTCTTTAGATAGGTGTTAGATATACATTCTTTAAAAATATAGTTTTATAATTGTATCGTTTACTTTTTTTTTTTTTTGGTTTTTCTCTGGTACCGGGAACCGAACTCATGACCTTGCGCTTGCCAGGCAGGCGCTTTGCCACTGAACTAAATCCCCAGCCCCTCGTTTACATTTTTGTTTGGATCATTTTATGTTACTGTAGTTGAGTTTACTTCACTGGTTCGGACTAAAGCATTAACATCAATTTTATCACGTTGTCTGTTCTTGTGCCAAACGCCTTATTTGCTTCCAGCATCTTACTAACAAAAATGTTATGAACGTCTTTCTGTGTCTCCTTAAGAGACTTTCCAGGATTTTCACAGGTGAGTAATTGCTGGACCATAGTTTACACACACTATTTCACCAAATACTGCCAAAAATAGCCTCCAGAACATTTAGGTTGGTTTACACCCTCTCTTGTGGGAGATGAGAATTTCTTTTTCCTATTTTTCCAGCTCTTGATACTACTCAACACACTAAATTTCACCAACTGGTACATGCAAAATTGTTTTTCACTGTCACTTTGAAAATACCAAAAATCTGGTCAGGCATGGTGGCCCATGCCTATAATCCTAGCATTCTGGAGGCTGAGGCAAGCAGACTGCCTCGAGTTCAAGACCAGCTTGGGTTACATAGTAAATTCAAGGCCAGACTGAATTACATACCAAGATCTTATCTTAAAAAAACCTAAAAAACAAAAACAAAAAAACAACTACTACCTGTACTCTACAATACTCTAAAACTCTTGCCTCAACATTTCAACCATTTCTAGATTGTTGTCTCGCAATATGCAGCCAATTTTAACCAAACCTAAAACTGAACGAAGCACCTTAAACCAAATTTCTAATTTTCAAAAAAATTCTAATCTTGTCCGTCTTCCCTTTGTCAACGCTCTGCTGAGGTAGAGTTCTTCCTTACTGCGATACGCAATAAAACCAGCACTGTTTTCTCAACAGGTTGTTAAGATTTCTCCTGTAAGATTCTTCCCCTGTTTCTCCTGGTCTGAAACAAACTGGCCTAGAGACTACAAGACTCAAGCCACTCTCCTACTACAAATAGGCATATGCTACTAAGCCTGGCCGTAAACTTTTTACTTTTCAGAAAACTACTCTCTCTGCCCTTTTACTTGGCTTCTTCTTATATTCAGATTTAATGGGCATTTCCTTGTTTCAAAATTTTTCCATATTTCTTGGTATGCCACCGAATGAAGTATGAACTTCTTAGCTTCCTCTGTCATCATCAAGCTAGTCTTTCCAAACCAAATCGAACTGGTTCCTTTCTCTAGAGTAGGCAAGACTTGGGCAAATGGTTCAAAAACACTTTCCTGAGGACACACCGACTCCCTCTTTTGAATTCCCATCAGGTCCTTTCCTCGTCACTGACTAGTCCAGTTCCATCGTCCTGTTTTCTATGCTTGACTTGGGAGTTCCTGAGATTAAACGTAGGAAACGCCCCGGCCATCACAGCTTAGTTGCTGAATAGCCCTCGATTAAGCCGGCCAGGACGCAGAACTCGCAGAGGAGGAGCTGCTTCCGGCCGGCTCTGGGCTCCCGTGGGGCCCTGCGGCCCCGCTGCATGCCGGGATCTTTAGGTCGGTGCCAGCAGCCCAGTGAAGAGGATAACCTAAGAACCCACTTGGGAGCCGGCATGTCTAACATCAACTGCGATGATGCTTCACCCAGTCCCGCCTCTTCCCGCTCCTCCTCAGAGAAAACGCAGCCCCGCAGCATTTACCTCAGCGATCACAGAGGTGATGAAGTCGACTACACACTGCTTCCCTCCACCTCCTTTCACACAACCGTGAGCTGCCAGAGAGGAGCGGCGGAGCTAGTCCTCAAAACTCGAACTGATTAAGCGCCTACGCGAACAAAGCAAAGGCGGGATGCTATCGCGATTCTGATTGGCTGGCTGTTGGGTCAGGTCGATTGGGGACGGAAAGAGGCCGGGAAGGAAAGCTAGCTGTGGCCTGCGGGGATTGGCGGAAGGAACCGGTACTTTCTCTCCTTTCCTCTACGTTGGTGGGCGGAGAAATAAGTGGGAGGGGCGCCGCGGAGATCCAACTCGTCATTGGTGGGTGAGTGTTCCTTAGCGTGCTAGCGATTGGCGGTCGTCTGATTGCGCGGCACTGACTGGATAGTAGAGAGGGTGGGTTAAAGGCAGAGCGTTTGAGCCCGCCCTGCCGCTTGAGTACACTGGCGGAAGGGGAAGGGGGGGAGGTGGCGGTGGGGAAGATGGCGTACCAGAGCCTGAGACTAGAGTACTTACAGATCCCACCGGTCAGCCGCGCCTACACCACCGCTTGCGTCCTCACCACCGCGGCTGTGGTGAGCAGCTTCAGCGCCGCTTTCTAATTTCCGGGCAGGATGTGTCTGATTCTTCACAAAACTGGGGTTTGGGGCCTCGGGGACGCCCAGAGGGTCTGGTCTGAGGGGTGGGTGGAGGTGTGTGGGGCCAACTCTAGGGTTCGGGAATGGACCCAAGAATGCTCATCCAGTGACCTGAGAAGGGTAGGCTGCTTGGTGAGGAGTCAGGTCCGTCGCTGAGATGAAATCGGAACCTATAGCGGGTCAGGGCTGCGGGAGCCGCCCATCCAGGAAACCTGAGTGAAAGCTCTAGCGATTGCCTGGTTTTCCGTGGTATCTAAAGAAACTCCGCTAAGTGAGATTTGGGTGTTAAGGATACGACGCTGGAGTTTACCGAAAGAGAAACATTAAAATAAAAGGGCCTGTGGATATCAGGGGCAGGCTGGCGGCAGCCAGCCCTAATAGTGGCAGGGTCTCAGTCATTTCAATGAGTTGTGTTGCTTCACCCAGCTGTCCCCAGGTGATGCCCATGTGATGGACAGATTGGTAGCAACTGCTTTACTCGTCCTGTATCTAAAATACCACCTGCCTGTTTCCCATGCCTTCATGTCATCCTCAAGTATTGCAAGATAAAACTTTAATTTTTGTTTAGCTATTGAAGATACAAAGAATTGTACCAGTTCCGGAGAAGTCTTTACAAGCCTTGTCTCTGATCTAGAAGGGCTTAATGTTACAGGAAACTGCTACACTCACTAATCTTTGTTGTAAACGACAAAATTTTGTTTCTCGATTGATTTGCTTTACGCACTCCTTTTTCTATTTCAGCAGTTGGAACTGATCACACCTTTTCAGTTGTACTTCAATCCTGAATTAATTTTTAAACACTTTCAAGTAAGTAATCCATTGTAACTGATTAATATTTCTGTTTCTTGTTGTTCATAGCAAATTCTGCCATATAGTGTTTTAAAAAGACGTTTGACTGTAAGTCTTATTGTTGAGGTGTAAAGCAGCCCGGATACCCTTTAGAATCAGGAACTTTTAAGAGATTTTCAGGCCCTTCACCATATACTAGATCAGAATCACTAAGGATAAAAATTTAGGATCTGTATTTTAGTTTCCTGGGTGATTTTGATAGGAATCACTGATAAAGATTTTGTGTTGTAGTTTAAGAGGAGATTGACCAGCTGGCTGCCCAGGGAGAGTCACACAGAATGGCTTTATGTTGTTCATTCACCATCTGGGCACACCCACCAACTTCTTGGTATGGTCCATTTCATAAACTCAGTTTTGGTATTGCTTTTAAGTTGATCCTTCTCGAGAGATCAGCTCTTACTGACACCACTCTAAAGACCAGCATCTAAAGCAGTATGCTGGTTTATTGGATTATAGTGGGGAATAGTCTTTTCCATTGTTTAAAATGCTAAAAGAAACATATTCTCCTACTCCAAGGTGATCATATAGCCTCTATGTGGAGGAGAGACCCTAAAACCAATAATTCTGCCCCTACACATAGTGTTCCCTGTTTCTCAGATGTATTGCATTTACTGTGCACTCACTAAATCCAGCTCACCTTTCAAGATGCAGCTTTTATGTGGCCTCATTCTTGTCTTTGTTCTTTCCTTGCAGTTAGTTATATGTTTGCCTTCTCACTACCATATTTACCCAAAAATAAGACCTAACTGGAAAATAAGCCCTACCATGATTTTCAGTATGCTTATAATATAAGCTCTACTCCCAAAATAGCCCATTAAAATCATCAGCTAGACAGATGCATTTAGTATATCTGTTACAACACACAACATACATATTCAATTATAAATTAATAATGTACAATTAAATATAAATAATATTGACATAATACTTAAAATGATAATATAAATTATGATGTGTAAATACCCAGTGGCACCTTTGGACAAGAGGTAAACACCTGTGTAAACAGATGAATTCAACACTTACTGCTGAAGGACCAGAGTACAGACACAACACACAGAGAATAATGTGCACTTGATAACAAATGAAAATTCAGTACATCATGTGTTGTAACAGACATGCCTAATGCACATCTGAGAAATAAACATTTTCTGAGTATTAGTACCTACAATTTTTTATCACTTAATGTGTGGACCATCACTCTTAACTATTGTCATATTTGTTGCCACTCCTGTCTCATAAGTTTTCAAGTAACACTTGACTTAATGAAAACTTTGTGGAGCCTCATCTGCAAGAGGTCATGACTTGGGTGAAGAATTCATGGCATAAAATCAGTGACAGCTGTGTTGCCAATGCACTAGGGACAGGCTACATGTACAAGAAATGCTCATTTAAGGAGATCTCTGCTGCTGAACATGAGAGAGATTGGGGTCACTGGCTCTGCAGGAAATGGAGTAGCAAGAAATTCAGGCCAGAATTCAGTGTTTGGGGTTTATAACAGTGTTCCAGAAAATTACATGACTGTATCTGAATAAATGCAGATTTTTGTACATGAATAAAGTTAATACAGGTTGTGGTACATGGAAAAAATAAGACATCCCCTGAGAATAAGCCCTATTGCATCTTTTGGAGCAAAAGTTAATATAAAACTCAGTCTTATTTTGGGGGAAATAGAGTCGGATGAGGTTTCTAAAATCTTGGATGCAATTAATATGTACAGTTGTTTCAATTTTAATAGCTACTGATTCTGAAGGATTTAATGGCACATGAAGCTGTTCTCTATTCTCTTGTCACAGCCTTCTTCCTTCAGTACTCACGTGGCCTTTGCTGTAGCTCTGTCCAAGTTTTGCTTCATGCTGGCTTGCTTGGTTTGACTTTGCCTGGTGTTAGTCTTCAAGACACTGCATGTGTATTTGAAGTTAGGCGTTCTAGATTTGAGATCAGAATCTCCACAAGCTGTTTATCTTTGGGCAAGCTATTTAAAGTTAGCCAGGTATTCTAGTTGCATGAAATGGGAATGATAGTATCAGCTTCCTTGTGTCACAGGATTATTAAGATTGTGAGAGAGTAGACTGTGTATGTTTAACACTTTAAAATGTTAACTCTCCCAATATGAGTAGTTGTGGGTGTAGATAGGTTGAGTAGGTAAGAATATCAGGGTACCCAACATAAATGTGAATCCCCTTTTAACTCCCAATTAGACTCTATTAGAGCCTTAGGACATTGACTGTTCAGACTAGGACTTGAGTATTTGCCTTAGATGCCTCAAGTTTTGTCTTATATCTGTGGACTCATTAGATTTTGAGACTTTGTAGATGAAAGCATTATTTTCTATTCTGTAAATTAGGATGTCTTTTTTGTCTTAATATGGAAATGTTAAAAAAAAATGGAAATGTTTCCTGGTAATATATTTTATTTAATCTATCTTTCTCTTGATTTTTTTTTCCTACAGATATGGAGATTAATCACAAATTTCTTATTTTTTGGGCCAGTTGGATTCAATTTTTTATTTAACATGATTTTTCTGTATCCTTTATTAAGTAGAGTCAGCATCAAAACTGTAGGGTCACAGAAAAAAAGAGTTAAGTTGAAACTATTAATCCTGTTACTGAGGGCTGAGGATTTAGCTCAGCAGCACAGCACCTGCCTGGCAAGTGTGAGGTTGTGAGTTTGATTCCTGGTACCATATTAGTTATAGTTTTTGGATCAGTGGTACATAGAGTAATTGGTCAGATTGTAATGTTTTGAACGTGTTTGTAGCTACTTACATGGGAAGTTCTAACCATATAAAGGTGTCATTATTGTCCTTAAATTGCTTGTAAATCTAATCAAGGGAGAGGACATATAATTAAATTGAAACATACTTGTAATGTAACATCAGGGGGTACAAAATGGTTAAGCACAATCTGAATACAGTGGTAATTTAATTGACAACTTTAGCAGGGTGTGGTGGCACATGCCTGTAATCCCAGCACTCAGATGACTGAGGCAGGAGGATCCCTTTGATTTTGAGGCTAGCCTCAATTGCATAGTGAAACCCTGTCTCAAAAAAGACCAAAAATAATAATAATAATAATTGGCAGCTTTACTGCAGCTTTGGAAATTAGTTTATGAGAAATGGAGACTGGAGATCTTGGATTTTAGTTGCTGGTTTTACTGGTTGAAAAGACAGTGCCATAATATCTGCCAAACTTGCCTTGTTCCAGTGTGTTGAAAGACAGGAAGGGCCATGTTCTGGTTAAATGATAGTTTTGATCACTGAGCAGGGTATTCTTCCTCCACCCCAATCCCAGGAGTAAGAGGGATGTTCCAGCTTAGTTTATACCACA